GGACATAATAATTTTCATTTAGCCCGATAGATTAAAAGGTCGTTATTTATTTCGATCAGCCGTACGGCGAGTTTTGGAATATATGGAATGGATAACAGAGGAAGAGATAATCGAGGAAATTAGCGATGATGTAACGATTAATATTAGAATGGCTCAACAGAGGGACAAAATAGAAAAAAAATTACTTACATTAAAGGTATTCAATGAAACATATGTGTATATAGTATGTTAAAAGTAGATAAATAGAAATAAAGAATCAGAATTTAACATGTAAAAAATGTATCCGTTGATTCAAGGATCGATCGATACTTCTAGTGAGACCGACTGAAAGATCTTCCGCGGATAAAGTATACATATATGATCTTATGACAAAATTCCACGCATTCACAAAGTATTCTGAGGATTTGAGAAAAGATCTGGCAGCTGCATGCTTTTATCAATATTTACCGTCTGATCGGGTAATCGTTCGTCAGGGTCATAAAGCGAGAAATCTTTATTTTATTTTGAACGGCGAGGTCAATTTGTCAAAAGTAGTAATTGATGATTTAACAGGTAAGAAAAAATAATACTACAAATTTTCCGAATCTTGGATACAAAAAGATGACATAAAAAAATCTAATAAATTGGAAAGAATGTTTGTATTGAATATATAGAGAATATTTACTGTTTTATACATAATAGAAACACAAGAATATGATGAGATGGAAATATAAGATATATCAACATTTTCCATTTAATTTATAATATTTGAATAAATTTCTTATTGTTAATTTGATCATTATATTATTTTTTTGACAAACTTTACTTTATAAGATAAGTTATATTTATATTTTGAAAAGAGAATTCTGAAGGAAAAATGATGTAGCTTAATGTAAAGAATTAGATGTAATGTTTTCTGTTAGGTGATAAAAAAGTTGTAGATATGGGAAGCATACATTCAGGAGATATGTTTGGTGAAATTGCATTATTGCACACGTTACCGAGAACATCAACAACAATTACTAAAAGTTAGTAGAAATGAATTATGAAAATAGACGTGCTAATAGAGTTCATCAAAATTTATATTACTTCTGTGAATATTATTTAGCGTCAGTTGATTTGCTTCTAATTACTCAAGACGATTTTAATAAGATCTTGCGCAGTAATTTGACAAAAAAATGGGATGTTTTGCGAGATGCGTTGGTTCATTTTAATTATTTCAAATTGTGGGATGAAGAGACGATACGAGAATGTTGTATTTTGAGCAAATTAAAAGACTTTAAATCTAATGAGGTAAATAATTTGGCAGTGCAATAATTATTTTATGTTAGAGGAAAAGGTGATATTATGAAGTCCTTGTTGGTTTCTTGTCCCTTTTTACGGTCCCTTTTAATATTTCCGCTATTAGATAGCAAAAAAATTATTTATGACATGATTTGTTCAGTAGTCATATGCAATCAATACCTTGATCTTGAACGCATGTCAAAATCAAGATTGAAAAGATACCTTTGCATATTTAAAAATTATATCTTAAATCATAAATATTTTATAATTTTGAATTTAAGATCGATTGAACAACACTTTGATAAATGTAATCATTAAATTTTAAATTTAAATAATTGATTATTTAGTTATTCTATAAAATGTAATGAGGGGACATAATAGCACTTTCTCCTCTAATATTTCGATAATTCATTATTCTCGAGAATATTTCAAGAAATAAACACAAATCTGAACACAAAAAATACAGAAAATACTAACAAATTAATTTGAAAGATTTTGTTAGGTGATGGAAAAGGCATGGTGAATTATGTGCATTTTATTCTGAAAGGTAAATGTCGCCTTATTGAGCATATGCTTGTTCGTGAGCGTCCTTCTTATCATGGAATGCAATACGAATTATATGATTCTGAAACTTTCCGTCCACAACTACAAAGAGTGCCGAAAAAGATTGCAGAATCTGATGAGCTTGAATCAAATCAATTTGATAAATCCATTCCAGTACGAATTAAGAAGAAATAACTTTATTCTCTTATATATTTCTTTAATTTTAATAAAACTGCACTTCTTTCTTTGCGCTTGTATTTTTTCGATGCACTATGTACATACATCATGTTTAATTTTAAATATTAAGAAACAGTTTTAAATAATTATGTTAATATAATTTTAATACGGTGAATATAGTTTGTATTATTTTATAAAAAGATTATATAAAAGATTTTATTTGTTATAAAAGTATGCGGATTGAATTATTGTTAATCAATAATTATATATAATTTAAGCAATTCTTTTAATTATTAGTGCAAGATATTTTATTACTTAGTATTGTCTGATTATACCGAAAATTGGTATACAGAATATGTATATTTACTAATCGCATTTTTTTTTTGCAGAAATCTGTTGAAATAAAAGAAGAGGATGATCAATTAAGCATTGTTACTACCACACTTTTAGACGTTGTGAGTATTTACAGCACGCTTTTTTCTTCTTACTAATCTATCTCAATTAGTAAAATTATACGAAGCTATCTGATCGAGTAAATTATTGAAGTTCATTTCAGTTAAACTTATTGAAATACATGGTATGATTTTTGGATAAATTTAATTTTATTAGTCAGTAATATAGGATCATAAATTAATTTTATCGTTTAAAATCATAAATTGATCAATTTGCATGTGTTAATAAATATTATAAAATCAAGGTTAAAGGATGGCATGAAATTACTGAAGTTGCGGAGATATTAATGCGAGAACCGTCTGTTACATCTCAATTACGTTATCCTAGTGATGTTCGCACTATATTCATGCAAATATGCACTTTGTCACGGGGTGCGTGTTTTGGTTTAGGTGAGAAACATATATTATACAAATTATATTTTCTTTTATCTAATATGATGTAATGAATCAATATTTAATTAAGGAGAGAAAATGCTTTATCGAAGAGTCATAGCGATTACGCCAGTACGATGTTTTCTTATCCCGCGATATTGGTTGCTCGAGCATAACCGTGCCAATATTTGGGGACGTGTGAAACTATTCATGGACTTAAAATATCCAACTAAAAAACAGCTATTTAACGAATTTCTTCTAAATCGAAAGTATGATAAATTATTAAACATAATTATAGTAATATTTTCAAATTCCTTCTAATTATCAAATTTTTATCTAATTATTGATTTAATGATTTATAGAAATTATTGCACTATTCTCTCTGACTTTTATTTTAGATGGATGACGTATAAGCAGAATTTAGTTAAAGATGCCATTAATCGACGTGGTTATTTTCATAGTAATGTAACGATACACGACGTACCGTATTCCATCAGAATTACTGATGAAATAGATCCAAAACTATAATTATTCTTCTCTATTGTTTCTATTAAATAAATATAATTTTAAATAATACTATCGTAGTATAATATATTGGATATATATATATAATATTTATTTAGAAATTTGTAGAAATAAAATTTGAACGCGCTCATTATTTATATAAACATTTTATGTATTAATATATTTTGCATTTGTGCAGACATTAATATAAATTCATTATTATAAAAATTGTGTAAAGTCATCCTCTTAATGGCCATTAAATTTATAATATATATGTCTATGTTCAACATTGGTCCACTCTAGATCTTATTTGTTTGATGTCCGCAGCGTATGTTCTACAACATCCGCCGATATAACGAACGCCAAGATCCAACCATTCATCAATGAACTCGTGCAAAGAGGCAATTTCTCCTTCTTTCTTCCATCCTTCAGATACTGTATATTTTTCTCCGCTGTTAGGATATACTATCAATGGTATGATGTCATTTAACTTGTTTTTATTGATATCTTGCAGCAGAGCGGTAACACATTGTGGAGCAATACAATTAACACCGATCGCTAATATTTGTCCGGGTAATGCATTTTTATAACACCTCACGGCAAGCTCTTGAAAGTTATTACCGTCTGCCAAGCTTTTTCCATCATTTCTACAGGAGAATGACAACCATGCTCGCGTATCTGGAAATTCCTTGAGTAGATCGATTATAGCCTCCGCCTCGCGCATACAAGGTATTGTTTCTATCGCCAATAGATCAACACCTCTCTCCAGCAATGCGCATATGCGAGGTCTATGCCAATTGATCAAAAATTCTCGCGATATGTTGATACAATACGAACCAGTATACTCTGAACCATCGTGCAAGCAAGCGCCGTAAGGACCGCAAGATCCAGCGATTAGTGGCTTTCGATTCCTCACATTTTTATTCTCTATTTCTTTACTATAAACGTTAACGGCATCTTTAGCGTAATCAACAGCTTTACGGATAATCTCGAGACTTTCTTCCTCGGTGATACCGAGATGCTTTACAAAACCGTCGATAGTTGCTTGATATGTATTTGTCTCTATGATATCGGCACCAGCACGCAAGAAATCCAAGTGAGTAGCGAAGACGGCTTTCGGTTTCGTTATGAGAAAACGTGCAGTCCACAGAGGATCACCATTAATTTTTTCATCTAGGTGGGTAGATAATTGCGTAGAAAAACCACCGTCCAGCACTTTTATCTCCGACATGATTGATTTTTTTTCGCTTTTAGAAGTTAAAATCGTTTTATTTTAATTTATTTAAACTTTATATGATAAATCGATATCACATAACGAAACAAAAAATTTTATTGCAATACAAATATAAATGCATAGCTTGCATCTCGATTGCTTGATGTGTTCTACGATATTACAAGAAGTTAATCCAATGCACGGACTTTATACATATTACGAAGATAACTGTGAAATGGCTTGTTGCTGTGTCTACATTTTGATAGTCAATCATTATAGAAGTATGTGTCATTGTCCAAGTATTCGCTTCTTCCGGAGTATTGCGTATTGGTCGTAGATTACTGTATCATGCGCAGCATGTAATCATATCTAATAGCTGATACAATGTCATCCTTTTTTTATCAGGTATTTGTGCAAGACGAAAACAGGAAAATGCAGATAAGAAATCGTCTAGCAATATAAATAAACGTTTATTTTTTGAATTGATCGTTTGACTTTACAAGATATTTGATACAAAGTTCAAAATACAATCTAAGGTTGTGTTCCGTTGCACGCATAATGCGCATGATGTATCGTAATCCTTGTTAACACGCGAACAATAAGGATAAAATGATATCTCATGCGCATTATGTGTATTAAATGACGCATATTAAATGACATTAGAAAGAACACTAATAATCTTTATCTGTAATGGATTTTGATAACTATTTCCATTAATCCATTACTACTGCGACGAATCGATATAATTCTTTCAGTTAATTAGTAATTGACGAACGACGATGTGTGATAATTAATGTAACATTGATTTATTGCACAACAATATTAAATAGAAAACTAGCTTAGAGGAAAGTGGGGCAAGATGAGATATATCTTCTAAAACGTGTCGTACACAAAGTAATATACTCATAAAAAATTTCTTTTTTCATTTCGTTTTAGAATGATAAGAAACTATAAATTCCTACAAATGTATGGATCTAAACAAATTGAGAGAAAATCAGATAATTGTGGACGTTTATATTTACCAGTTAAATAATTGGTAAAAGCTGTAGAACAGATATTTTATTTTATTGCGTGAAGTCAATCTATCGAAAATAACAATCGACACGTTAATAGATAAGAAGAAATGGTAATACAAATATTCATATTATTATACATATAGTGAATGCAAAAAATATTTGTATAGAGAAAGTTTTAAAAAAATTTTATTTTTAAAAAGTAAATATTATCCAGCGAGAAATGAGTCGAATTGATGTTAAATCGATAAATACGATGATTTCAATCGATTCGACGTTTAATTAACGTTCGTTTCTTGCTAATTAATTATTCATAAAGAATAAAATAGACTATATGTTTCTTAAAATTATATATATTAAAAAAATGTGTATTAATTATAGAAAATATATCATCTGAAAAATGAGCGAAAGTTAAAAATTGTATTGTTTACATGCTCAAAAAGTATTTGTACAAGAAATTTAGCTTCTAAAAAATGCTCATTTGTTAATGTAAGAACAAAATGTATTCCTTGTATAAAATTGCTAATTAATTTATTTTCTACAATAAGACTTTTTATAAAAAATTTCCTTGTAAGAACTTTTTGCTTTCATTATATATACTTGCTTTGATTTTTTTTTAATTTTTAGATACAATTACTCTATTTTATTATAAAAATAAAATATTAGAATATATTATGTATTTCATATGCTATGTATTTCACTTGTACAAAAATTTGTTTCTAATTTAATATAATTCAGTCCTAATGAAGAAATGTCCTAATGTCCTATAAATAAGTAATAAAGAAATGTGCAAATGTTATAAATGTTAAGTACAAAAATTGAGGAGATCTTTATTTACATCTTTATTTAATATTGTTACACACACACACACACACACACACACACACACACACACACACACACACACACACACATTCGCGCACGCGTGTATATTCACATATAAGAAAAAACGTATTTTAATATTAAGCACTTTTATGAATTTACAGTTTACTTTTCACAAAAAATTAATGAAAGAATTCTCTTTATCATGATTATATGTTTGCGATAAAGTAAAGAGATAAAAAATAAAAGTGAATAACTATATGTATATGCAAACTTTGTAATAGAAATAAAACATATTAGTTCAAATAGAACATATTAGATCAAATATTATACAATAGAAAATCAATAACGCATTTTTTCTTATTTTCTTTATGTATCATCTTGCTTAAGTATATATGTTCTTCTAAACATGTCATTGTACTTTGTACATCGTTAAAGACATTATTGTAACGATAGAAATATTACAAATGATGATTGATACCTTAATAATATCACACTAATTAAGTATCTAAATTTCATATTTTTTAGATAACAAATAAATGTGCACAATCCAATTATTTCACATTATACTCTGTATAAGCAAATAAATCAATAACGTGTAAATATATAATTTGTCAAAGATTTTAATTATTTACATGAAAACAATATCTCAAAGAATTTTTAATTTGATAAATGTTCGAATTCTATGCATTTTTTCCAATTGGAATGCGTCACAGTATTTGAATGTTAATTCTTAAAATTAGGTAGTGGCACTTTTTCGTACTTATTAATAAAAAATTATTTTTATAAACTTGAGAAAGTATGTAAACAATTTTGTATCGTATAAATGTGCTATTACAAAAAATAAATAAAATTAAAATATTTGCGTATTATGCATGAATATACTATTTCTCTCTCTTGCCTTGATGCAATAAGAAATGATTTTTTTATTTCTATTTATACTAATGCATTTTCGATATGCTATAATCGCCATATGGCACATTAACTGAGAAATATTTTGTGAAATATTAAATTTGATATTATATCGTGTATTATTAGATATAATTACAATTATGACAATATAAAAGGTCACATAAGATTGCAGTGCAGAATTATGAATAAATTACTAATCTGCACTGAATCTTAGTATTCAGTAAATAATTTAATATTCACAACGGCACATAACTACAAAATTTCCAGACGGACTAAGCTTTCTGGTCCACCTCATGATTACTGATCATCACGTAACTAGGATTGCTGAAACTATCCGGTATACCCTTTCTCAAATCATTCTTCTGTTTTGGCATGTTCACGTAATTATCTTGCATGCAGATGATGGACGGCGCATAATCTTTTTTTTTCAAGTCCGTCGTATCCTTTTGTGCATCATTCACGTCCGTATCGTTCAGATCTATTAAATGAAGATTCCGTGGCGCGTTGCAATAACCAGAATCTCGATCGATTGGTCTATCGACTATCTGATCCTTCATTGCTTGTCTTTGTCGTGCGAATTCTGCTCTTCGCTCGTGAACATTGATCGGTTTCAAGTAGGGATCCTCCTCAGAATGTTTCAGCATGGGAGACAGCTCGACTGCATCCTCGGAATCCGATGCGGGCGATGGAAACTCAAAGTGCGAGTGTTCCTGGTGTGGTCTAGGACTAAATATTCCGGACTCATCTGTCGGACAACCGGGACTCATACATAAGTACGATGAATCCGCACTTTTTGAGAATGGCGAGTTCACATAATCGTGACTCGGCGACGATAGAACTGTGTGATCCGGCGCGGACATCATTGTCAAATAGTCGTTTTTGCCGCTTTCCAGATTCATCGTGTTCATATCCATGTACGGTGTATTTAGACTAATGTAATGCTGGAACAGAGAAAAAAAGTTTTTATTATGTATTGTGTCTGCTTTGAAATTTATATTATTAATATATTAATTAATCACTTAATTAATTATATTAATATTATATTAATTATTCAGTACTTTAAA